TGGGCTGTGGGCCAGGAGGAGGGTCAAAGTCTGAGTCCACGCCCGGTGTCAACAACAGCTGAACGAGAAAGGAAGAACCGGGGGAACCCGCCCAGTGTGCAGGGCAGCCCCGAGAGGTGCATCCTCCAGCCTTTGTGTGTTGGGGGCAACTGGACCCCGCGGGGCAGGACAGGAGGAGGGTGCCCTCACTGCGGGAGACGCAGGCTTCACCCTAACTGGAGAGGGGGTCAGCACCACGGCCCAGCCTGCAGGCATCGTGCGCCCTAACGTGCACTAAGCAGATGGCACATCACTTCTGGGGTCTCATCCCAGGCCCTCGAACCGCGGTCTAATCATGAGAAGACACTAGACAAACCCAAATTGAGGCGCAAGCCTCAAAATACCCACCAGTCTCCTCAAAGTGTCAAGTACATGGGGAAAAAGATCCAGAGGGGACCAGGGCCGGGGGCAGGCCGAGGGCACAGGATGACTAAACGCAGCTGGAGCGGACGAGCGGTGTGAGCAGAGAGCCTGCGGCCCTGCGGGTTAGTCAGGAGGATTGTGCAACCATCGACTTCTCGGCTTTGCCAAAGCTCCACGGCCGAGAAAGACATCAGGCACTCTTTGCTGTCTGTATAACCCAGGTGCAGACTTAGAATTATCCCACACCAAGGAGTTTTAAGAATCAAAATGGACACGAAAGGGAGAATTTAGTTCAGATGACCATTATATTTACTGTGAGCAGAATCCCTTAGAAGAACTGGAGGAGCCGTCAGAGTCAATTAGGAGTCCGAAACGCAGTGCTCGGGCGCAGTCTCAAAAACGACAGAAAATCTCAAAAACGACAGAGTGATCTCGGTCTGCTTCCAAGGCAAACCATTCACTATCACAGTAATCAGAGTCTATGCCCCAACCGCTAATGCAGAAGAAGCTGAAGTCGAACAGTTCTAAGAAGACCTTCTGGAACTAACCCCAAACAAAAATGTCCTTTCCACCATACGGGATTAGAATGCAAAAGTAGTAAGTCAAGAGGTATGTGCAATAACAGGCAAGCTTGGCCTTGGAGTACAAAACGAAGCAGGGCAACAGAGTTTTGCCAAGAGAACATGGTCACGGCAAACACCCCCTTTCAACAACACAAGAGACGATGCTATACATGGACATCTCCAGATGGTCAGCACTGAAATCAGACTGATTATATTCTTCGCAGCTGAAGATGGAGCAGCTCAGCAAAAACAAGATTTGGAGTTGACTGTGGCTCAGATCAGGAGCTGTTTACTGCAAAATTCAGGTTTAAATTGAAGAAAAGTAGGGGAAACCACTAGACCATTTAGCTGTGACCTAAATCAAATCCCTTATGACTATACAGTGGAGGTTACAAGTAGATTCAAGGGATTAGATCTGGTGCAGACAAAGTGCCTGAAGAACTACAGAGAGATTCATAACACTGTACAGAAGGTGGTGACCAAAACCACTCCCAAGAAAAAGAAATGCAAGAAGGCAAAGTGGTTGTCTGAGGAGGCTTTACAAACAGCTGAGAAAAGAGAAGTGAAAGGCAAAGAAGGGAAAGATATATCCAACTGAATGCAGAGTTCCAGAGAATATCAAGGAGAGACAAGAAAGCCTTCTTAAGTGAAGAATGCAAAGAAACAGAGGAAAGCAATACAATGGGAAAGACTAGAGATCTCTTCAAGAAAATTAGAGATACCAAGGGAACATTTCATGCAAAGACGGGCACAGTAAAGGACAGAAATAGCAAGGACCTAACAGAAGCAGAAGATACTAAGAAGAGGTGGCAAGAATACACCAAAAAACTGTACAAGAAAGGTCTTAATGACCCAGATAACCGCGATGGTGTGATCACTCATCTAGAGCCAGGCATCTTGGAGTGCGGAAGTCAAGTGGGCTCTAGGAAGCGTCACTACAAACAAACCTAATGGAGGTGATGGAATTCCAGCTGAACTATTTCAAATCCTAAAAGACAATGCTGTGAAAGTGCTGCACTCAATATGCCAGCAAATTTGGAAAACTCAGGAGGGCCACAGGACTGGAAAGGGTCACTTTTCATTCCAATCCCAAAGAAGGGCCATGCCAAAGAATGCTCAAACTACTGTACAGCTGCACTCATTTCACATGCTAGCAAGGCAATGCTCAAAATCCTTCAAGGTAGGCTTCAACAGTACATGAACTGAGAACTTCCAGATGTACCAGCTGGATTTAGAAAAGGCAGAGAAACCAGAGATCAAAAAGCCAACATCCAAGAGATTAAAGAAAAAGCAAGAGAATTTCTGAAAAATATCTACTTCTGCCTCATTGACTACCCAAAAGCCTTTGACTGTGTGGATCACAACAAACTGTGGGAAATTCTTTTTTTTTTTGGATTGGGCTAAGCGGTTTTATTAGAGAAAGTCAAGATGACAGAGGACTGAAGAGTTGCATCGGGACCTTCTTCTTCCCTAACGTGGGCACGACAGTGGCAAAGCGCTGGTTGCACTGCGTGTGCCTCTCGATCCGGCCCGTCTCCTTCTTCTTCTCCTGTTTGGCCACCTTGGGAGTCTGACCTCTTGCTTTCCCAGCACGGGCCGGGGAACCATGGGCTTTACCTCCAAGCATGCAGCCGACTACCTCTGGAGTGCTCAGAGTCTCCACCTTACACTGGCCCAGGGTAGTTTCATCCTCTGGGGGTGTACCTGCCAGGAGCAGAACTTGATTTTCTGGAGGGAAGCCCTCCAATGAAGCTACCTGAGCGGTGATCTGGGCAACAGTCTCCTGGTTGGTCACCTCAACTGTGTAGCTCCTGGGTGCAGGCAAAAAGTTGCATGTTGGTGACTAGATCACAGACACCATTGCCGTTACTGCGAAGATGGGAGTCAAGACAGAGCTGGAAAATTCCTAAAGAGATGGGAATACTAGACTGCTCTGCCTGCTGAGAAACCTGTATGCAGGTCAAGAAGCAACAGTTAGAACCAGACATAGGACAATAGACTGGTTCCAGATTGGGAAAGAAGTGCGTCAAGGCTGTATGCTGTCACCCAGCTTATTGAACTTCTGTGTAGAGCACATCATGGCAAATGCCAAGCTGGATGAATCACAAGCTGGAATCAAGATTGCTGGCAGAAATATCAACGTTGGACATGCAGATGACACCAGTCTAACGGCAGAAAGCGAAGAGGAACTAGAGCCTCTTGAGGGTAAAAGAGGAGAGTGAAAAAGCTGGTTTAAAACTCAATATTTAAAAAACTAAGGTCACGGCATCCAGTCCCATCACTTCATGGTTAATAGATGGGGAAAAAGTGGAAGCAGTTGCAGATTTTAATTTCTTGGGCTCCAAAATCACTGCAGATGGTGACTGCAGCCATGAAATTAAAAATGCTTGTTCCTTGGGAGAAGAGTTTTGACAAACCTAGACAGCATATTAAAAAGCAGAGACATCACTTTGCCAAAAAAGGTCTGTCTAGTCAAAGCTATTGATTTTCCAGTAATCAGGTATGGATGTGAGAGTTGGACCATATAGAAGGCTGCGTGTCTAACAACTGATGCTTTCAAACTGTGGTATTGGAGAAACCTCGAGAGTCCCATGGATGGCAAAGAGATCAAACCAGTCAATTCAAAAGAAAATCAATCCTAAATATTCATTGGAAGGACTAATGCTGAAGGTGAAGCTGCAATACTTTGGCCACCTGGTCTGAAGAGCTGACTCATTGGAAAAGACCCTGATGCTGGGAAAGACTGAAGGCAGGAAGAGAAGGGGATGACGGAAGATGAGATGGCTGGAGGCATCACGGACTCAATGGACGGGAGTTTGAGCAAGCTTCTGCAGATAGTGAAGGACAGGGAGGCCTGGTGTGTTGCAGTGCATGGGGTCTCAAAGAGTGGCACACGACTTAGCAACTGAACAACAACGAGGAGTTTTATTAAACTACTGTAGTTAGCATGCTGCCGCTGCTGCTAACTCACTTCAGTCGTGTCCAACTCTGTGTAACCCTACAGACGGCAGCCCACCAGGCTCCCGCGTCCCTGGGATTCTCCAGGCAAGAACACTGGAGTGGGTTGCCATTTCCTTCTCCAGTGCATGAAAGTGAAAAGTGAAAGTGAAGTTACTCAGTTGTGTCCCACTCTTAGTGACCCCATGAACTGCAGCCCAAGAGGCTCCTCCATCCATGGGATTTTCCAGGCAAGAGTACTGGAGTGGGGTGCCATTGCTTCTCCGTAGTTAGTATACACTAAATACAACTGATTTTTGTTCATTTTTGTATTCAATGACCTTGCAAAGCTCATTACTTCTGACTGTGCCTGTAGATTTTGCACTTTCCACGTGTACCACCATATCATGTGCAAGGAGAACTGTTTCACTTCTTCCCTGGCTATATACTTCCCACACCTTTTTGTTGGTTTATTCTCTGGCTAGGACTTCTAGAAGGCTGAGCAGAAGCTGTAAATTTGGGCACCCTTCTCTTACCCTTAGTATCTCAGGGAGTAAGGCTTAACACTCTAGTAAACAATGTTGGCGGTGGCCATTCTTTATCAGAATAAGAAAGTCCCTTTATGTGCAATGTATGTAAATTACGACACCAAGTTTTACCAATGGCCTAGCTCTCCATCAGGTCCAGCAGACAGCGGTGAACACTACCGCCTCCGCAAACTAAAACCTCAACGGTGTTCGGGGGTCTGGTAGAACCAGAACACGACTGCATTTAGGAATACCTAGGGTGCACCAAGGAGAAGGCAATGGCAACCCACTCCAGTCCTCTTGCCTGGAAAATCCCATGGACGGAGGAGCCTCTTGGGCTGCAGTTCATGGGGTCGCTGAGAGTCGGACAACTGAGCGACTTCACTTTCACTTTCATGCACTGCAGAAGGAAATGGCAACCCACTCGCGTTCTTGCCTGGAGAATCCCAGGGATGGGGAAGCCTCGTGGGCTGCCCTCTATGGGGTCGCACTGAGTTGGATACGACTGAAGTGACTTAGCAGCAGCAGGGTGCACCATGCACCAAAGGAAAAAGGAGCCTTTGGAACCAGAATGTTCCAGGGCTTCCTCTACGCAGCGGTGAAAGGGCACGGCACATGCGTAAACACGAATGGAACCTTGCGCGGCCGACACACGTGGCCTTTTTCTTTGGACTTGATCCAGCGGTTTAATAAGTACAGACAAGGCGGCTGGGCGGGCGCTTTCGCGGTAGGCGGGCGGGGTCAGAGCCTTACTCCACGAGACCCAGGAGCCCGAAGACTGGCCCGGAGACCAGGCGTTGCCGCGGTCGGGTTGAACTTGGCGCGCGGGGCGGGGCGGGGCGGGGCAATGGGAGGGCCGTGTAGACCCGGCGGGGCTTCCGCGCCGGCTTCAAGCAGGGCGGGCGCGCAGGGTCTTCCGAGCGCGAAGGGGCGGCTTCTCCCGGGCCTCGGCCCCGACCCCGCCGGCCCTGGGATGCTGCTGAGCCCGTGTCCCCGGGCTCGGCTCAGCGCACGCCCTGGAGTGCGCGCGAGACGGAGCTGCTGCTGGGCACGCTGCTGCAGCCCGCCGTGTGGCGTGCGCTCCTGCTGGACCGCCGCCAGGCGCTGCCCACCTACCGCCGCGTGTCGGCCGCGCTGGCCCGCCAGCAGGTGCGGCGCACCCCTGCGCAGTGCCGCCGCCGCTACAAGTTCCTCAAAGACAAGGTCCGCGACGCGCACGGCCAGCCGCCCGGGCCCTTCGACGCGCAGATTCGCCAGCTTATGGGCCTACTGGGTGACAACGGGCGCAGGCGCGGACGCCGCCGCTCCCCCGGGCCCGGACGACCCCCGCGCGGCCGCCGGCCGGCCTCCGCCGCGCCCGCCGAGCCGGGTAGGTGGGCTGGGGTGGGGGAGGGCGCGCCGCAGACAGAGGAGCGGGGAGAGCGAGCGGAGCGAGCTGTGGGGAGCGCGCCCCAGATGGAGGAGCGGGGGGAGCGGCCGGGGAGTGGGGGGCGGGCGCGCCCCCGGCAAACCGCAGCTCCGCGTTCCAGGCGCCCCGCCGCTGCCCGCGTCCCGAGAGCTCGACTCGGATCCCGCGTGGACGCTCAGGTTCAGTCCGTCCCCGCCCAAGTGTGCGGACGCGCCCCACGCCCCAGGCTCCCCGACGGCCGTCTGCACCTTCACGCCGGCGCCTGGCCACCCGGAAGAGTCCGAGTCCTTCCGTGCCCCTGGCTCCCCGCCACCGCCGTCCCCGGGCCCCGCCCAGGAAGACCCCGACTCGCCGCCCGGCCGCCCGGAGGACCACGCGCCCCAGCAGCCCGCGCCGCCGCCGTCTCTGAACGCCGCCCTCGTGCAGACCCTGGGGCACCTCGGCGACATCGTGTCCATCCTGGGCCCGCTGCGTGACCAGCTGCTGACCCTGAACCAGCACGTGGAGCAGCTGCGCGGCTCCTTCGACCAGACCGTGTCCCTGGCCGTGGGCTTCATCCTGGGTAGCGCCGCGACTGAGCGAGGCGTCCTAGCCGACCCGCGCCCGTGAGGCCTGCCCCTCGGTGCTCCCCGCGCCGGAGGGCCGCCCCCTCAGCCCTGACCCTGCCTGCTGCCCTCCCCGCCCCCTCCCCCGAACCTAGGTGTGTTCAATAAAAAGATTGCTTTTTCTGACTCAATCCTGTGTGTGCAGGTTGCGCTCTGGGTAGGAGCGTCGGGCGGGAGATAACCGGGAGGTTGAAATGGTCTCGGGACCCCGGGGAGGGGCCCAGTTGGGATTCTGCCCGGCCCCACCAAGCCTAGGAGGCCCCTCTCCCGTCTGGAGAGGGCTCGGGGCCCTCATCGCATACTAGCCTTCTCCAGGTCTCCAGACCCTGCTTACCAAGACTTCCCACCAGCGCAGACCGGCCACCGTGGGCGAGCCCCTGCGAGCTGGGAGGAGGCCGGGCGCCACGGGGAGGGCCCGGGGAACCGGCGGGGGCCGGGTTCAGCCGGAACTGGTGGGGGAGGTGTGAGAGGTCTCCCGCTGCCCCCCGCGGGCCGTCCAGGGAAGAGCCTTGGGCCTAGCAGCATCCAGGGAGGAGGTTCCCGGGAAGGGGGTCCCCTCCAGTCCACAGAGGTGCGTGGACTGGGCGGGTCCGGGGCAGCAGGCGTGGCGGATCTGAGCTTTTCCACCTGGGCGGAGGCCTGGGTTCGTGCAACTTTAAAAGGACTTGATCGAAATCGCCCCAGGAGCATTTTCCAAGTCTTGACTGAGGGCCCCACCCTGCGCTGGGGGCTCAGACCCGGCAGGGACGGGGCGGGGCCGGACGTGCTCCCAGCCGGGTGGGAGGAGGAAGCGGCCAGAGGCGCGAGCCCGCATAACAATAAGCCTTCGGGCTGAATGCCCGGCGGCTTTTCAGCAGCTAGGGGCTCATTCAGAGGCTTAAGTGGTTGCTCTGGTCCGCGAGGTAAACGGGAAGCCTGTCTCCAAGCGCCCTGCAGTCCTCGCCCTCCGGAGGCTCCAGGCGGCCTAGCACTCAGCCCCTCCCCCAGCCCTTTTCTGGAAAAGTCTTCTAAGAGGCCCCGGTTGGGCCCCCAGCCGCAGGGACCCGGCAGAACAGAGTTGCACCCATCGTTCGGCAGGACTGGGGGCTGTGTATGGAAGGTTCCGAATCCTCGACGACACGGTGGCCTCCGCTGCCCCCTTCCAGTCCACCGAGGGCAGAACCTGCGGTGGGATTCTTGGCGTTTGTAAACGCCGGCACACCCTACACACTCCCAAAGGTAAGAGCCAAGGGTGGGGGGTCCGAGACAGCCTTGGGCCGCTTCCCAGCAAATCCCCAAAGCCCCGGGGGCAGGGGGTGATGTCACCGGGACCCTCTGCTCTGGGAAAGGGCTGTTTGGGGGTTTGAAGAGATCCATGTAAGCCTCTGAGTCTTTGGGGACCAAGGTATTGGGGTGCACCAAGGAGAACCTGTCTATCTTACGGCCCATGTTGCCTTGCGGTCTGGGGGCCATGTCCAGGGCCTTCTCCTCGGGGCCTGATGACCCTGCCCACCCCTTCCCAGGCCTTGCCAAGGTCTTCCAGTCTGGGGAGGGGCGAGCCTGTCTCACTCCAGCACCTCAACTTGGGGCTTTACCTGTAACTTCAGCCATTCCTGACGTGTGGGAATGCTCAGATCCTGTCTCCCCGCCCTGCCCGTGACCCGCCTCATCTGTAGCTCTCCAGGGCTGAGGGGGGGAGGGGTTAGGGTTAGGGTTAGGGTTGGGGGCGGGGGAGCTGGGTCTTCTGCCGGCCATCCTGGGTTTGCCTCAGCACGTGTACTGCGCACCTCCCAGTGGGGATGGAGGCCTGGCCTCGAGCACCCCTTTCCTGTCCCTCTGTGGGCATCGACCCAGCCGGCCTCCCGGCCTATCCTCAGGGGCCCCTCAGCCAGCAGGCTCACCCCTTCGCTTTCACTTGGGTGTAGCACATGGAGCGTTAAGTCTTCCGTCTAACCCATTTCAAGTGTGCAGCTCCGGCGCCAGGGGCGTTCACGTTGTGCAGCGGTCACCCCATCAGCTCCGGAACTCGCTCTTCTCAGACTGCACCACTGGACACTCACTCTGCAGCCCCTCCCCCGCCCTGGCGGGGTGCTCTGGTGTGTGCCCTGTCGCTCAGCCCTTCCGACTCTGAGACCTCGTGAACTGCAGCCTACCAGGCTCCTCTGTCCGTGGGATTCTCCAGGTGAGGATACTGGAGTGGGTTGCCGTGCCCTCTTCCCAACCCAGGGATCTAACCCACGTCTCCCGCGTTGCAGACGGATTCTTTACCATCTGAGCTACTGGGGACCTCAAAAGTGGGATCAGGCAGTATATGTCTTTTTGTATCTGGTTTATTTCACCTAGAATAATGTCCTCCAAGCTGTGAATAATGTACACAGAATCCTGCGGGTTTTCTTTCTTTTTAAAGACTGAACGATAGCCCACTGCATGGATGGACCACATTTTGCTTGTCCATTGACTTGGTGAACACTGGGCTGCTTCCACATTTCACCTATTGTGAATAATGCTGCTGCGAACATGGGTGTGCGAGTATCTTTCAAGACCCTGTTTTCAGTTCTTTGGGGTGTGTAAGTGGAATTAATTGACCATATGGTAATTCCATTTTTAATTTTTTGAGGAACCTCCATACTATCTTCCAGCCGCTGCCCCATTTTATATTGCCACCAACACCGAACAAGGGTTCCAATTTCACCACATCCTCAAGCACACTTCTGTTACTTTTTTAAATCTCAGTCACCCTAGGGAGTGTGAGGTTCGTACCTTTAACAACCGGTGTTACAGTGCGCGGTCAGCAGTGTGACCGTTGACCTGCCGGTGCCCTCCTGTCCCAGTGCTCGGGGACCCATCCAGCTGCCGCTTGTGTCCGCACCACGTGAACTCACCGCACGCCTGTCCTGTGACACGGAGACCCATGCACAGTGGCCTGTGGCATCGCTGGCCTGGATGATCAACAGCGGTGACTGCAAGTCCCCCACTCTGGGCCTCGCCCCACCCCAACCCCGGCATCTGCAGGGCCCTGGGGCTGGCTTTGCTTTTCCCCTTCGCCCCACACCCGGCTGGTGCTCCTGTGTGTGTGGACTGCCCTGGGCCCTCAGCCTCGTCCGCCCCGTAACACAGGGCTGCACCCGGCTGGCTGTACCTAGCTCACCCCTGGCCCCAGTTTGTTTCTGTGTGGACCGCCAGGGGCTGGAATCCAGCTCCCAGCTAATTCAGCACCCTCGGCCTCCCACACCAGTTCCCTTCCCTCTGGGGCTGGGGCCAGAGAGAGCGGTTATCACAGCACGTTCATCAAGGGTCAATGCTGTTGAGCCCTAGAACAGCTATTCCAGTGACATGGGACACCTCATAGGGGATGCATTTTCCCCAAAGAGGCATTTGATCCTTTCAGTCCAGGGGCTCCCACACCCCGGACAGGGCTCCATTCCACCTGGTTAGCTCTGCCTGAGCTCCCTTGGTGTCCAGACGGTCCCTGAATGTAACTGAAGCAAGCTTCCCATACACCTTGTATTTCAGAACTGCCTGTCCTGATTCTCACGGCTCATCTTCCAGACCCCGTCTCTCCTACACATGCTCCTCTAACCACACCGTCCATACGAGGCTCTGTCCGTACGGGCGGTGTAAACAGCCTCCTCCCTGGGGACTCGAGGGGCGCCTGGCTGCGAGCCTGCACCTTTTTCCAAGTCACGCAGCTGGGGCCTGAGGACCTTAGGCGGAGAAGGAACTGAGTGGGCAGACGGGTCTGTGCTCTCAGCTCAGCGTGGCTCCCTCCTGCGTCTCCTCCACACCCTCACCAGAGGCCCCCGGTCTGCGTGGTTCTCCACTGTCTTCACGACACCACTGCGTCTGTAGTCTCTCCCCCACGTTGTGGGGGCGCAGAACGGGAAGGGGTGCCCCAAGAGACACAGTCGCGCTGCCTTCCTCCCATCCCTGTTCTGCGCTGGGCCAGTTTGCCAGAAACCACAGCGCTGAGCGTTACAGACCGAACGTGTCCTCCTAACTCCGTGCTGAGATCCCAAGCCCAGGGTGGTGCAGTCAGGAGGGCCCCTGGGAGGCAACAGGCCTTGAGGGTGGGGCCTCGCAGTTGGGGTTAGCGCCCCTGACCCCGATCCCCCCATGGGAGGCCACGGCAAGGAAGCAGCCGGCGTCTGCCCCGCAGCCCCCTGCCTGGCGTCCCTGTAGCAGGACAGACGGGACCCTGCCACCGGTGCTGGCAGGGTCTCCAGTGGACACCAGGTGCTGGCCTCTCCCAGAGCTGTGGTCGCTGAGGATCGGAAGCAGCTACTCAGGCGTGCAGCTCACCCCGCTCACCTGGCCCAGCCCCAGGACCTGCTGAGTCGCTGGTGTGGGCCCTGAGGGTGGCCCGTCCTCCATCGCTGATCAGCGGGAGCATCCGGGCCCATCACCTTTGGCCATTTATCTGCGTTAGCACCTCTGTGTGTTTCAGTCGGGTTTCTCTGCTCCTCGGGGGTCCTGCACCTTCAGGAGGCCTGTGGGCGCTCCCCTTTCCTTTGTTTTCTGAGTTCTTGGCGCTGACCTAATCCTCCAAGGACTCTCCTGACCTGCAGAGGCCCCTTCGTGAAGACCTCGGCAGTCATTGTTCCTCCTGTTCAGCAGGAGGTGCTTATCCGACTTCGCTTGGTTCATTCTTTGTAATGACAGCACCAAGCAGGAGCACTCTGGAGTGACAGGAACGTTCCAGAACGACTGTCCCACACGGCCGCCACCAGCCACAGGTGGCCTGTGCGACTGAGACACTGGATGCTTTATCTGAGTTAGTTTATACATGCTCAGAGCTCCACATTTAGTCCTTACATAAAACTGTTTTAGTTCCGTTGATTTCAGCTTCCTAGCTTCAGAGTCTGTTTCACCAAAGACCAGGGCCTGGAGTTAGACACTTCATAAAGGTTCCTTCCAGGGGCCCCTTTCAGAGTCCCTCAGACTGACGGGGGACCCACCCGCACCCCCAGTCTCGGCGGGACTGCTGCAAGGCCGCAGGGCCTGGCTATGGGTGGGGGCTTCTAGTTT